GGGTTGAAATATCTCTCTTATTCACCCCGGTACCCCATTGTTTTTTGTCGCCATCACATTGAACACATCATTCCCCATATCTTCAAATTTTTTCAAATTTTTCTTGAGTTCCTAGGGGGTTGAAACGTTCAATTTAATCAAAACTCCATAAGAGGCCGTGTATAAGACTGATTTTGTTTATTTAATTTCTCGATATCCATAAGTTCTAAAATGTTAAAATTGTCACCGATGTTCACCATCTGTCTAATACTATTAATTAAAAAAATTATAACTTTGTTGGTGAATGTCAATTTTCAAGGTCATCGCAAAATTCACTTGGCACCCTTAAAGTCGATAACTATCCATATCTCGCGAGTCTGTCACGCTTATTCCTCATTGGTTCAAGTCGTCTGAGGCGGCAAATTTAATTCATGATTAATTTAATTTTGAGATTTTCAATTATGATTGTTACAATTGCAACGTGCCGTAGCGCGCGTTCGGTCTCGCAACAATACTATTACTGAACTGCGTGTGACAGCACGTGTGCCGTTATTGTACTTTCGCGCGGGTGCTCTACGTGGACATCACTGTTGTATTACGGTGGCACGCGGTAAGGCGAGTGTAACACCATCGTAACTGAATTTGGCTATCTGGGAAGTGACTATCGGAGTGTATTCCTGACATGAATTTTCTGCTAGTAACGCAACAACTGCAGTCAATAATTTAACAGCGTTGGGTATATGACCCAACCGTCGATAGAATACCTTCTAAATGCTCCATTGGACCACAAGCGCGGCGCTGGATGGCAAAAAGTACTACAAAAAATCATGGAAAATATCTAAGTAATTTAACAATCAACTTCGGAGTGTAGTAGATGAAGTTCTACATGAATTTTGATGATACATTTTATCGGCTGTGATATTTCCCAATAGTTTCGTAGCATTGCAAAGAGAGGGACCAGTTTAACCCATCAGAATCTAAAGTATCTTGAGTACGCAGTACGATGACTAATCGAGGAAAATGTTCCCAAACAGTGCATTCTGATTTGTTGCTATTTAGAATGAAGGAAATAATTAATTATTACACTCAGTTCGAAGTTGCGTAGTTTTCTATCCACATATTCAGCATCCGCTACAGCGAGGAAATAGTATATTTCGTAACGAGTGCAAAAAACATTTTTTCACGAGTTACGAACAATATTTTTCATCACAATGTGGCGGAAGTTCACTTTTCGTCACAGCGTGATGAAAAATATAAGTCTGCCAATCAAATCTGTTTCAGACAAGATTTTACATATTAAACAAGATCGGTATTACTGCCTCTGGTGTGAGGGGTTAAATATTCCGGTGTTAAAGTCAACTCTCTCGTCCGAAGTCAAACTTGGGTACGGAGTCGATTTTTATTTTTCACACCGAACTGTATTGATTGATATGTTCATTTTGACACCGTGGCAGTGTTAATTTTCACTCCACTCGCTGTATTTCACTCCGGAATGAATTAACTCCGCATATTCACACCGAAAAACGGTGAGGACTTATTTTCACTCCGTTTGGTGTGGACTCAGGGTCGAAACTCTGGATTTTTTACTGTGTATGAGGGAATTCCGTGTGGACATTTCGGACATTTATTTGTCTGAAACAAATTTGATCGCCAAAATTATATTCTTTTCTCTACGTACTTCACAATAGGCGACTCACAAA